AGGACATCACAAAAGTTCCCGTAAAATTTTGACTTCATAATAGAAAATATCTGACGCCACAATGGAAAAGCGATTGTTGTATGACGTCAAAAGTTCAAGCGGGACAGATTCTCGGGTCAAGCGGGCATAGCGATAAGGTGTATTAGCTAGAGGTATAGGGAGAGGGTTGAGAACTCAGAAAAAATGTTTAAACCCGCCGTATTTTTGCGCCTGTCCCATGTCAGGAACTTCTAGCCTTTGTTAGTCTTGCGCAGTCGGAAAGCTGACCCCGGTTTGACCCGATTTCTTAAAGCAACAATGGAAGTCATGTGACTACCATATTTGGGCATTTTTGGGGTCATTTTTTCCTTAACTGAACCGACTCTGTTTCCTCCATAAAGTCATATCAAATGAAATCAAAACATGATGTACATTACAACTGCCAACTGTGTATACTTTTTAGAAGCTCTCACATAAAAATTGTTTTGATTAACGTACTGAATTAGAATACAATGCCTTCAAACCAAAGGTCGTCACTCGACGCGTCAAGTTTTTTCAACACATCAGTTGAAATTTCTTTCTTAACTTCTTGGGTAACCTATGCTGAATTTAAAATATTTGATGAGGCTTTTTATAAACTGGCCCATGTCAAATTTGTGCCACTTACTTTAATACGCTGTAATACGCAAATGTGCCACTTCGATGTGTCGATATTTCTGACGAAGCGGTGCCGATAGTAATTTACGAGTTACGTTCCTTTGTTGACACTTTTCATGAACATACTTATTGTTACTATCATATATATTATAATCAAATTAAGCACCATATGCTTTATATACAAGTGGATATTATGAAAATAATTTTACTAATTATATTTTGATACCAAAGACATGTAAAACAATTAGGTAAACACATTTTATCACTTTTACAACAATATTTCAGAACTGAAATAGGGCTTTGATATTAATAACTCTGTGCCATAATATATTATTCCAAGGGTAACTTTCATATTTATATTTTGGTAAATAGTTTTACTGCTGTAGCCAAATCATATCAACACAGAAATAAATCTCTACTACATAAAGACAAGGGGTAGCCAAAATATGCATGAATACTGGATCTAGACAGGGTTAAAATGATCACAAACTGGAATTCTGTTTCAATATTGATACCTGATCCTACCTTTTTCATATACATTTAAAAGAAATAATGATCAAAGTATTCTCAATGTAAATTCTTCATTATTTGAAATAAAAGGAAATTGGTTTGCAATCCTAATGTATGATTAAACTAAATATAACAATACATTTTGTCTCATTCCATGAAGTTCTAATAAATGGACTCGAATTATAAAAAAAGCCTAAACCAATGGATAATTATTTAAATGGTTTATGGCCTAATCATGAACTTGCGAATAAATAAGCTCGGTCTCATATTTTCTTCTTCTATTTAAAAAAAATAAATAATTTTGCATATTAAAAGTATTTCAGAGCAGTTTCTGAGTGCTCAAAGTCACAAGTCATAAGTAAGTCACACTTCATGTAAGTATGAAAATGCGTTGAATAAGAGTGATTAAAATGCAAGTCTGAAAGAGATTGTTTTAAGTTCAAAGGACAAGACTTTTGCATTTACTTTTGCAGGATTCCTTCATCACAAAAAAAAAAAATGATACTAACATTGAATGAGTTTTTTTTTAGTCACCTTAAGGTTCTGCACAGACAGTATACAATTTCCTTACCTTATTGTTTTAGTTAACGTCAAACATTTCACTTAAAGAGAATAATTAATCCAGTCAAATTCACAGCTGAACTCGCCTTTGCTTTTTCAAACAAACACACTAAATGTGTGTGCATTATGTTCAGATGCATGTTGACATCGATGTGTAAGACCAAAAAACTACAATGTCAAAAAATGTCTTTCTTTTGGAATTTAGTTCAAACGGGGTTTCAAAAGGGGTGACTTGAATTTTTTTTTCCAACTTTGAGTTACGTATTATTAATTTGTTATATAGTATAATCTTTGTTTATCTGTGAAAAAAAGAAGAAAAAATATCAGACAATTTCGCATAATCTATTAACGTAATTGTTAAAAGACGGCCAATTTAGGTATTATTTTCTTTAATAATAAGACACATGCTTAAAAGATAGAAAGAAATCTAATTTTGCCCCAAATGGCAAGTAAGAAACAGAAAATAGAAAATTTTCAAAATTGCCGCCAAATTATTTTTTCCGCGAAATTAACGCAATTTCAGAATGGCGGGCTTTAATATCAGTCCCATTGTTGTCTTATGAAAGTAGCAACAACGGTCGTTTCTAAGGGCTTGCTTTCCGACTGTGTGTGTTTTTTAAACTATTGGTTTATTTGTGTGTTTTGGAGTTTAGTGTGGCGTTCATTTCGCTGAAAAAGTATACATTTTTGTTTAGAAGCCAGCTGATATCCGCCTCGGGGTGCGGGATTTTCTCTCTGCGTTGCGGAAGACCTATTGGTGGCCTTGGGCTGTTTTCTGATCAATTGGCGGGTTGTCTTTTTGACACATTCCCCGTTTTCATTTAAGGAATAACTGTACTGTAGATGAAGAGTTGCCACCGTCAATTGGCGATTTGACGGTCGCAAATGCAGTTTTACTGGCGACGCGTAGCGGAGACAGTAAAACGGATATTTGCGACCGTCAAATCAAAATTGACGGTGGCAACTCTTCAACTACAGTACTGTTATTCCGATTCTAATTCATTACAAAAAGAAATAATACGTTAAAGCTTGAAAAAATGTATAAATTTGAAATCCCGCGAAACTTCATGAATGATTTTGGCGCAAAGACGTCATGGCTAAACATGACGTCATACACATGAAAACTTAGAAACTGAAGGTTATTTCGTTACTTCTACGATTCAAATTTGGATAAAATCACATCAAAACGGCAATTTTGAGGTAGGTGTTACATCTTTTATATACAGTAAATCCTTAACCCTTAGAGTGCCACGCTTTTTTTTGGTAGAATACCGTTGAGTGCCATGGGATAGGCCCTAGATTTGAAATTTGAACGAAAAACGTCATAAAAGAAGCGTAACAATGCACAACGTCATGCAATTGTTTTCGTATACAAGCAGTTCTGTTTCGACATTCGGCGTGTGTCAGTTTGATTTCTTTAGGTAACGGGTACGTAAATGGGCAATCAAACGGATTTTTATGAATTTTTGCAGGCAAGTTGATCCATTAGAGCCGCAAATAAATATTCAAAAAGTATGCATCTTATCAACATGTTACCTTACTGAATAAAATATTTGCCGCTGGACACTTAGTTACAACTAAAGTAGCTAATCCATAATTTCACAAACGTGTGTACTTTGTTTAGACTTTTAATTATGCACTTTCGTAATATGTTTAAATTTTCCGTTCTTTTGTTTCCGATTGATTTTGTTTTGATTGATTTCTTGTTTTAAATACTAGGCACCGATATAAGAATTATATTTGCAACTTTAAGTTTTTCATACTTTTTTTAAGGTTTGATCGAAAATCATTGCAGTCAAGTCGTCATTATTTTTGTTTAGCCCACACGGTTGTCACATTTATTTTAGGTTCAGTCTTTTAAAATAAGTATTGAATTTCGTAAAATCTTTCAATTGATAACACATCAAAAACATATATTATTGTATGGTTGGATTTTAACAAACAATGAGTTGAAAAATAAAAAGAATTGTTTGAATGTATTCGTCTATTTGATCTTTGTCTTCTTTTGTTTCTTGTTTTATTTTAAATCCTGATGTTATCATGTATAATTATTTTTTTATAATTCAATTTGGTTGAAATATATAGCAAATTCTCTGACAAAAGTAATATTTGTGTTTATATCATAAGAGGAAAACGCTTCTCATAAAGAATTTAACAAAGTAAACAAAGAAAAAAATTCTATGACAATTATGTTTCTATTGGTACCAAGTTGATTAGAATTCCATTCAGAGTTGATCTCCCAATTTTTTTTTAAATACGTAGCTTTATGTGAAATATATGACAAAAAAGGGGGACGAATAATCATTGCATAACTCTGTAAACGTTGTCGAAACATGATTTTGCTTCTATTTGTCTTTGTGCTACTTTGTCTGTAAATACATTTGTTTTGTTTAGCTGATGAGAGTTTTTATATAACTTCATATGCATTCAGTAAAGTTGCAGTGAAAAAAGAAACACCGAAGAAATTTATCGAGTTCGAGTTAAGTCATTGAACACACCTTTTCAACAATTGATACTGGTAAAATTTCAAAAGTTACTAACATGCTAATGTTAATTTTAGTATGAATTAAAAAAAAAAAATCGTCAACAAAAGATAAACACGACATCATTTTTTTTTATTAACTGAACATAAAGAATTTCATATATACATGTACCAAGCTATCAGGTGCCCTCGCTTGCCTAAAGCTAACTTAAAATAAAAACAGAAGTTCTTCTTAAAGTGTAGGTCTAAAGGGAAAGAAAGTCTTCCCTTTTCGTTTTCTTTTTCGTTCGAATAACTTTTTTGAATACAGATAAAGTAGTTTATTTAATGATGAACATAAGTAATATTAGAACAAAGTTGCAACATGTTTGTTCGTCGCGTAAATACTTTCATCATATCTAAAGAGAACAGTAAATAAAAATAAACTTTTGGCGACGAGTGTATATCTAGCATTCTTATTGGTCCCCTCTGGTAGAGGTTATGGTTCTTCTTCATTTTCTGGTTGCAAAACCCAAAACCACGGAGTTGGAATAGAGTTGACGCCGGCCATCTTCCAAATCCCGCAATCTAGCATTATGACGTGCTGTTTATTATTATGTAACGTCAAAATACCGTTGGCCTTTGGGCCTATGTCGTGGCACTCAAAGGTATTATTTTTGAATAGGCCGGATAGGCCGTATGGCAGAGAAAAGGTTAAAGAAGACACCCAAAAAGTAACGACAGGCAAATTAAGAGTTTTCCGTTGATGTTAAACAAATAATTCCAATGATACAACCATATAACTGTATACTTTTTTGTTTGTTTCTTCTAGCATATACTGGGATTTTAGTTTTGATGATGCCGTGGCAGAAACGTATGACTGTGAAACTCACTCTTTTGATCCAAGGTAAACAGGAAGTTAAAAAGTTTTCTTCATTTCTAATGCGTGATTCCCCTAATCTAAATGAATTTCTTGATATTCGGGAATTCATAATTCACGTTCTCATTATAGCGAAAAGAAATCAATAATGGTGGTTATTGTCACACTGGGGTGAACAAATTTATCAAAGACTAAGTATATATACTAGCAAAAAAATAAACGATACCCGATCTTTTTTATAAGAATTTTTATTACCAAAAATTATGCAACTAGCTGTATGTTCGAGAAACAGTCATACATCTGTATGTTACTGTACTTTTGTTTTTGTTTTACCTGAAAATAACATAATTTTTGTGTTGTTCTGAATTTTCTGCGAAACCACATTTATGTCGTCCGATCACGGGTTTTAAATTTAATGAGGGTAATTAAATATCAGGTAAACACATGTAAACACAAAGTGATTGAAGGTAACATCCAAAAAAGTAGGTTTCATATGCCTCGTCTACGCCAAAATGAGCGTAATAGAGCAGTGGGAATGGCACAAGCACGTGTGCATCATATTGACGTCGCAAACAACTTTTATGTTTCAAAATTTACAATAACACGAAAAAACGAGTCGTTTAAGACAGACTGGTTCCTCTAATGACAGACCACGTAGTTAACGTCCAAGAGAAACAACGTTACGTCAAGACCATCGGATAAGATTCACTAATCTCAGGGATTGGTTTCTGCCACAATTCGCCGTTTCAGAATCTAATGCGTTTTGGGTAATATTTTCAAAAGCGTACACCAAAACGTTGCGATTGGTTAAAATTCTCCAAACAATGGAAATAAATCCAATGAGGAGACGCTATTTTCATTTTGGTGTACGAACAATGACATTACCCTTAGTCTTTTAGATTCTGTAATGGTAAATTACTGCAAAACAAACATCTGGGATGAATAATCCAAAAATATCCGCCCACAAAGGTCGTTGTAGGCTAAAAGAGGCGGGTTACGTTCACAAAGTCAAGGAGTAGGAGCCATTATTAAACAACGCCATCGGACTGTACGTCTACGTTGGCAAAACGCACGTTTGTACTGGAACCGTGTTAGTGATGTCTTAAAATTTCGGTTGCGAAAAGTGATGGTAGAATGATAGTTTACAGACGCCAAAATAAACGTTATACTGACGCATGTGTGCATGAATGTGATCACTTAGGTGGGAACGGTGTGGTGGTTTGGGCAGGAATCGCGCATTGTGGATGCACTGATTTGATTTTCACAAACGGAAGTATAAATGGAGTTCGTTATCGTAACGAAATGTTCTCTCCAATTATTCAGCCATGATTCATTGGAAGACATTGAAATCGGCATACCTTTCAATAGGACAATGTTCGGTGTCAAGTGGCACGTGTATGCATTGACATTCTTCTATTGCTAGCTTTATCGCCAGATCTATCACCTATTGAACATTAATGGGTTGAACTCGACAAAAGCGTTCGCAGACGTCATCAGCCATCAGAGTCAATCAACCAGCTACGAGCCGCCTTGTTGGAAGAGCGTAATAACATCCTTCAAGCATATTTATACAACGCTGAATTGGATCCATGCGTCACAGACTAAGTGCTGTTATCATGCGTCACAGATTAAGTGCTGTTATCAACGCAAGAGGTGTTCATCCGCTTTATTAACTCTTCAACTTTTGGTTTCGACAATGACATCTTGAAACAGTCCGTGCAATAAGGCAAATGAATAGTGATCTGTCTGCTTTGTTTAGTTTGTATGCTTTTTTGTTATTTTGTTTTATAAAATACAAAACTAAAATACCATTGTTCAAAAATAAAATAAATATTTTTGATAAAATCTGGGTATCGTTTCTTTATGTGGCTAGTATATATGAAAGATGAATTGTAGTAACTTCTATATAACTAGTTGTCCCGACTAGGTATACAAGCATATTGAAATTTTAATTGATAGATTAAATCTGGTTTCATGCCCAATCCCACCAAAATTAATTAATGTTTGTTTTTAAGGGAATACACAGACAAAGTTACGTTACACATTTTGGTACTATTGTTTTTGTCATAGCTTAACGTTTATTTACAGGCACTAAGTCGATATGACTGTTGGTTCACTTTTTTTGGGTACCATATGTCCAGTAGTCAGTTCTTTGGTTCCGGTATAATGGTACATTGTATAAGTGTGAAAAAATGAATAAGGGTTATAAATCTTCATATATGCAGTTGCCCTTAAACGATTTTGATGATTTTTTTTCTTTTTGGTTGCATGTTCCAAAACACTGTGGAAGTTTGTCTCTTCAAACGTTTGGTCTAGGATGTAGATATGTTATGTACTAAAGCACATGTCATGACCATTTAAACTGACAGGTTAGGTCGTTGGTGTTTTGTTTGAATTGTACACATTTTGTCATATCCGGGTCTTCTGTAGTTGATCATACTGTTATGGGTTTTGCTCACTGCCGAAGGACATACAGAAACATGTAAATGCTTAAATCTGCCTAATTAGGACTCCGTTGGATAGTTGTCTCATTGTCAATCATACCACATGTCCTTGTTTTAATTGTCATTATGATCAGAAAAGCAGTACATGCGCACAATAACAATTCCTAAAAAAGTGGCGCAATGGAATTTCATGTCAGTTTTTGATAAATGTTAAAGGGGCATAAGCTACGAGATATATAAAAAAATAAAATATGATTTTTTTTTTATCAATCATTAAAGAACGTGAAATAGTATACACTTATTGACTGGTAATGAGGGTGACTGCAAGTTTGTTGTCCCTGAGATCCCAACTATTTAACGAGGCGAAGCTGAGGGCAGTAGTTAGTATCGAAGGACAACAAACTTGCTATTACCCTCATAACCAGTCATTAAGTGTTTTATTATACCAAACAAAACAGCTTTCTAAAAGAATCTACATACACTATGTGGCAAAAACAAACTAGTCACATATATACATGCAGAAGATGAACTAACAGTTTTTTTGGGTTTTTTTTGCCCGTGTGGTATTTGAAAATATTTTATTTACTGTTATCAAAACCAGAAATCCTTGTGTAAAATTCCCACGCATATATTTACCGCTAACTAAAATGTATTACTGTACACGAAAGCAATCACAGATTATGAAGACGACGACAGACCCATATCATACATTTGTTCTGTTGTACTTCTATCAATATGTCATGATATTTTCTTTTTCTTTTTAAATTTTTCCTGGTAAGTAATATATTAATTTAAACTACACAGACACATACAGATTATTTAAGAGTTTTACATTCCCATGCGCAAATGTTCAAGCAACACGAATAGTCAATGAAGTCATTGTGGTCCAATGAAAAATGAGTATGAAAAATTACGGGAAATAAGATTCAAAAATTATTGACCGTGGTAACAGTCTTTGAAACTATTGACTGGCAAATAGTCTGTGGAATTAAATATCACAAATATCAATTTGTTTATATAGAAAAAACATACTGAGATATAATGATGAAATAATAATTCGCTTTTAGCAGCCAGTTTGGTTTAATTTTGATAAAAATAAGCTAAGAAACATCGCTGATGAATTATTCACTTGCAAGTGAATAATTCGACCTCATTGAATCCGTATTCATGTGACCTTCAATTTAACCCCTTAGCTGGAGTTGAGTTACGCATGTATTCAGCTATTCAAAGGAAACGAATGTCAACATTGAAAGTGAAACAAGGATGGACTATTTGGTTGACTGATTGATCCACAAAAAATCATTCTTATACCTTAGATCTTAAACATATTTTTTTAACCTACAATATGAAATCAATCAGACCTAGAAAAATCCAATTGCACGTGGTCGGTATCAATTTAAATTTATATTTATGTTTATATCGGGTTATATGACCGTCGGCAGTCTTCGGAGGTCTTTTCAATGGTTAATTAGATGACGTCTAGATAAAAATACACACGAAATGCTGATACATATTATCGAGTCCATGTATTGTTAATTGTTTATTTTAGAAATTTTGTAATTTGGATGTACGAGGGTATGGATGGGGTCCTTCAGTTCTGTATTCTTTAATGTTTTATGTCATATTTCTCTATTCTTTACTTTTTGCCCATTATTCTATAGATATTCTTTATATTTTAGCACCTCATTATTCTCTATTTTTTATTTATTTTAGTCCATTGTTCTCTATTCTTTACATTTTTTGCCCATTATTCTCTATTCTGTAAACCCCCATCCACACCCTCATGTACGTTTTAGTATGTTATAAATCAAATATGAGAATTTGAGTACATTAAGTACATTGTTGGATTGATTAGACAAAGTTCTCTTTTGACCGGCAATACATCTTGTAAATAACGTTTTGTATGCTACATAATTTAAAATTTAATCTAATATGTATATATTTATAGTATGAACACTACAGATTTTAAACGGGGAAATTTCATATGGTTTCACAACCTTGGCTTGTCTGATCATTCAGGAATATATGAAAAAAATAAATGGAATATACTGACTCTTAAAGATATCCTTACAGAACTGAATCATACCTCGGTAAGATCTATTATTGTTTTCAATAAAAAAACAATTTACATTCGTCAAAACAGCGATTAATAGGCAATAAGCTAAATCACAAAGAAAAGGCAAATTATTCGATTAGCATTCTCGTCTTCCAATATTTTGATTTTATATCATCAAAATGCTATATCATAATAACTGTTCAAATAATTTATTACAGATGCAAGGGGCGAGTGAACCATTAAATATGTTGTTTAATAAAATTAACGGTACTAATTTTATTGCACCAGATGTGTTTTCGACAATTAATGTCTTTTCAGTAATGCTGGTCGCCAAAATATTTGAAAGTAAAAAATCTTATACAAAGTTACGTCGAAGAGCCGATAAAACCAAAAGGGACTAAAAGCAAAGTCAAATCCGGGCAAGGATTCAGAGCTATACACGAGGGAGGTACATTTCTCAATTCAAAATGATTTCGAAATTTTATAACAGAAAATTTAAATAGAACAATATTCATATTTTCATGCCAGCTGACTTGTGGGCTAATGATACTGTCGGGGGCCAACAGTATAAATTAGACAATTAGCTTGAATTTTGTATATATTTCTCAAGGAAATGATACTTTTGAATTTGAATTTCTACCACTTACATTAACTGAACATTGTTTTAAACAAAATTTGTAAAGTCCATGTTGAACTCTCATTACATAACATAAATCTGTACTTGATACATGATAGACGCTAAAGGTTATGTGCGAAATATTTACCAATAACAACACACATATATCTAATAATAATGGCAATAACAATACACACATACACACACACACATACACACACACACAAACACACACACGTAGAGAGAGAGAGAGAGAGAGAGAGAGAGAGAGAGATTTTTCTCCCATGGGTGGTTCTGTTATGTTCGAAGCATGAGCAGTAACTACAGATCAGAAACCGGTACAATTTTAGTGCACTTATAACGTGTTCATTTCAACAAAAAAGTTTATCCGCAAAATTATTCCGTTGATTAAACACGATAAAAGGTGAAAAGGTATATCAGGCGAAAAGAAATTGCTAAAAAAATCACAAAATATATAGGTCGGACAGGGAGCAGTTGCAAATACAAAAGTGTAATCTTTTAAAAGAAGGACGACATAGACATTAATATTTCAAAAGCACTGCGCCACCGCGCGCGGTTTTGATAATTACATTGTGTAAGTTGCGTATCACATTTTCACGTGGTTTTCAAGTGTACCGTTTATAGAGTATCCTTTGAACGATTTTATTTTGCTGAATTTGCAATACTTAAAAAAGATAAAAAACATATTTAGAACCATAACATAAAAAGAAGTTACTCTGCAGCTTTTCGGGGAAAGCGTATTATTCTCTGCTGTTTTTAGTGGGCGGTAACATATATCCGAGAAGACAGTATTGATATCTAATAAAAGATAACAGATTGTTCGCAAAACCCAGAGGAAGTGTGGAGAATTAAATAGACATATTACACACGATAAAGTAGAGGTTGAGAGGTTGAACACGCCATCGGATAATTAAAAAATACAAAGTTATGGGAACTTTGTGGAGACATATAAGACATACATAGCTATAATTCAAATCTGTTGTGACCATATGCACTGCATTAGTGTATCGTCGTTAAGACTTATTTACATCATTAAAAAATATTTGGTTTTACTATGTATCTCTATTGTTTTTTTTTTTTGTATATTTTGAGAAGACCCTTTGTTTTTCGTTAGTCTAGGTGTAATCCTAGGTATAGACTTAGTTTCCGCAAATGTCTATTAGTAAACTATCTTAATCTATGACTTTATTTTTTTTTACAATTGTCCTTCTAATAAGTTAAACATACATGTAGTGCACACTTGAATCATAAGGCATTCAGTATAATAAAAAACATACTAACCATGGATGAAGGTGTTATGGTGATTAACACACTCGGTGAAAAAATTATCACCCGCGACTTCATCTCGGGTGATATTTTTTTCCCTCGCGTGTTTATCTACCCTTACACCTTCACCCAAGGGCAGTATGTTTATATTACTGTTATTCTGTGAAGGACACCAACACATATTAATTTTAAGGTCTCCAAAAAATGTATCTATACTGGTCGAGTACCAGTTACCGTCATATATTTGCCCTTTTTTTTTAAATAAATTTAAAAAGGAACTCTTTAGGGAAATATTCTTTTAACATATTAACAAGGCATACCAAAAGTTAGATTAGTAATACAGACTCGGATTTGAATTCCTCGTATAAACAATAAAAACAGGTGATGCTAGTATTCCGACTCTTGCGGGATATTTCATACGTACGATGACCAGCTACCGTCACTTTTGAATCTTGTCCCTAAATGATTAACATTTAATCAGGACATTGATGTTATATTTTGCTTTTGTATAGAGGAGAAGAAGGTATGTCAATTAAACCAAACACATCGCTATTTTTGGTCATTTATTTGGCAGGTCTTCTTCCTGCTCTGAATGTGAAGTTAATGTCACTAGCAATCAACCACTTACACAATTATAGAGACGTGTAGACTTTAATTTTGAAAATCCTTAATATTTTTAGATTTTTTTGAAAGAAATTGTATATTCAAAGGGGAAATACACATCATAAATCCTATATCGGACAACACCATGGTAAGAACTAAAAACGCCGGAAAGACAAAATTAAAAAATATACGCAAAATTAAAAACTGAGCAACACGAACCCTACAATAAACCCTGAGTTAACTCGTGTGCTAAAGAGGAATCAGCAGTTCTTAGTACTTGATCCATTAGTAAAACCCGTCGTGTTGAATTAATTGATGAGTGTAACTATTATCGAAAACCAAAACTGCATGGCTGTGTTAATTCCACTTCGTTGATTGTTTCTGTATAATTTATTTCCAATTAACTTTTATGAACTTGTGACGAATTAGATCAAGATATAGTGAATAGACACGTGGATATTTTTGAAGAATGACCGTTCACCTCTAACAGACTTCTGGTATTTTTTTGTTGTTGGGATGCTGGATCATTGAGTTTACTTTCATCTCCCTTTATTCATTGTAACATTATATCCATGTATACCATTAGAAAAACATCAGGGATATTAATTCTAGTATATTTACTTCGTGCACTAGTACTCGGTTGCCCTAAGCTGGTATTGGATGCATATGGAAATATTATTAGTTACATAAGCCCCGCCTACTAACCCAATATGGAATATACACGGTCTCCACGCGGTTGCTTTTAACCAATCATATTCCTAGAAATGTATAGGAGGTAAGATAAATTGTCATATATGACTTTGTAAAATAAATGATTTAAGCATGCCATCATTGTGCGTGAGTACTGCATCACCAAGTGATACATATGCCAGATCGGATTCATCTTCACTATAAAAACATGCACGTCGTTTAAAGAAATTGTTGCTTTTTCATTTTTTGTAAAGGAAATGCATTAATAAATCAATATTTCAATTTGTAGAATCATTGGTAATTCACTCAATAATATTTGGACGCTATTCGAAAGACTGTTCTAAAAAAACAAGTACATGTAAAAAATCAATTACTCTCAAAATAACCTTATTCATCAAAAAAAACAAGTACTTCTGTTAAGTGTCTGTAATGAAAGATACATAGATTCTAAGACCGCATTTTGATTAATTTCTACATTCGTTTTTATATTAAAGTGGCTTTATTTTACAATTTAAGATAAAAGCATTTAAAGGATATATTCAATTTGTTAAACTTCAAATAATCTGCGGTTAATGATACCTTTTTTACGTATACTAAATTACCTTGTATTTTTATTTAAAGCTTAGCTTTCACGACTTACCAGAAACGATGTCTGTTGGTTTCTAGTTTGCATCATATTCACACGGAAAAAATCTAGGTCACACCCGACCAATTCACTCGAAAAAAACACGATCCCAAAAGGACATTATACCTACCGAGACAACTGTATAAATAATCTTTATTGTCATATAAACATTTTAAACATGTTTGTGACAAACAAAAAACCAAACAAAAACATATATATTTCCGCAAGTTTATTGTTTTCTGTTTGGTAATAAACTAATAATAAGATATATTTTGTTACATCTTGTGATCCGTTTATTTGGCAATCGCCAATGGCAGTCAGCAGGGTTTAAGAACATCAGTTGTTCGACCTGCTAGTCAAATGCGTTTTGTTAAAATATACATTTTCACTCATTTGGTCTTTTGGAAAATGTTGTTTGTGCTGTATTTAGACCCCTCTACCAAGAAATTTGTTTTGCATGCCCACGTATAAAAATTCCGCTTTTTATCCAACGCAATTATAGGTTTGAACGTTGTTTTCAATTTAGACTTGTTTATATTTTTTCGTTTGGGCTTGTATTATATTTGCCTTCGGGTTTATATGATCCGTTCATCCTATTTTGACTCTTTCAGAATTCAAGAGTCTATCCTAAATTGAGGTAAATTATATGGCCTTCCAAATACCGTTTCGATTCCTAACATCACTGAGGAGACATTAATTGTCGAAATCCGGATATGGTGTACAAATTTTTGCACCTCATGTTTGCGTATACCATCTTTTCCGCAAGTATATTGTTTTCTGTTTGGTAATAAATTAATAATAAGATCTACTTTGTTACATCTTGTGATCCGTTTTTTTGGCAATCGCCAATGACAGTCAACCGGGTTTAAGAACATCAGTTGTTCGACCTGCTTGTCAAATGCGTTTTGTTAAAACATACTTTTTCACTCATTTGTTTTTTTTAAGAAAATGTTGTTTGCTGTATTAAGACCCCTCTACCAAGAAATTTGTTTTGCATGCACACGTAAAAAAATTGCGGTTTTTATCCAACGCAATCATAGATTTGAACGTTTTTTTTTCAATTTAGACCTTTCGCATTTTTTTTGTTCTTCCCTCGCCGGGATTCGAACTCATGCTACTGAGATATCGTGACACCAAATCGCCTGCACTGTATCCGACGCGCTAGACAACTCGACCACCTGCAAATTTACAGATCTAACATTGTTGGGCTGATGTTTAGACGAGTTGTATATACAGAATGTACACAGCCATGTATCACCATCACTGCTGGTGATCCGATGGATAAATCTGTTGTAGAGTTGCCACTGGTTCAGACGTACTTATATATATATCCATCGTCGTAAAGCATATAAGATAGTGACAAAACAAAATACAAATAACAACATATATTCAACAAATCTTTTAACCATCAGTTAAACATCAAGTCTCCCTTGTCCTCAGTTCCATTGACTGTTTCAAAATGGAACATAGACTTTGTATCTGTTGTACATTTGTTTGATTGACTATATATTGTAGTTTTTGTTTGTTTGTTAGTGAAACTCCTAAAGTCAGGAATCCTTGATTTATGAACTCAGGCTGTTTGATTCTAGTAATTATGCAAGTTTTTCGGTTTGCTTGATGTGTCATGATTTTTTGTTTTTAATTTATGATTTTAACCTTGAAGCTTTTAATTGAGAACTAAAGGAATGCCTGATACGATTAAAAACATGGAAGGATTATTAATGAAAAATAAAATAAACGAACAATTGGGGATCATAACTTAAGGATAACCGATACTTAAATAGCGCCTACTTTTTAAATTGCTTTTATTCGAATTTTTAATAAAAAGAATGTTGTTCTATAGTAAATGTAATAAATTTGAGATTTCCATTTGGAATAAAATGTTATTAGTGTACATGTAAGAAAACAATCTAAGGTAATATTAGAAGAGTAGAAAAACAAAGAGGGCAATCAATGCAAACATCGAAGAAAGACAAGCAAATGTTTGACTCTCGATATTCAGTTGAAATTATTGTAGATATGGCTACAATGGATGTATGTATCATTAATAAATCCAAATTTAAAGTGAAACATTAATTAATAAGACCCCGGTGTGTACCAAATTAATGACTGAATTTTAATTATTGTAAAACGATTACCTGTATGAAAAATATAAGGCATTAAAGAAATTCAAACTTTTTCGAGGTGATGCCTTTTCGCCTTTTCGATGATCTAAAAACTGTGTAGGGGAAGTCAAGTTTTTTTTTCTCTTTTGCAATAGATGAATAAATGGATGTAGTTTTGTTAGCCTTCTATGTTATATGTTAATAAGAAATATGGAAACAATTATGTATCATGAAAAAGAACGGTTAGTTTAGTGTAAACATATTTTATTTGCAAAAGTAGCAAAAGGGATTGGACACAAGTTATAACAACATAAGTGACGTCCTCTCCCTATATAAATATAAACACAAAGTACATTAGATAATGACGAAAAACATAGAAGGAATGCATGTATAAATACAAACTGCATACAAAAACAAAAAACAAAAAAAACATACAAAAAATACAGAATAATATATAAAACTGGACTAGAGTGAAGAGTTGGAAAGTAGGAATTCAGAATGTTAGTTGATTGTTTTAAATCTTTGTGTTATTCTGATATATGCTTGTACAGACTCAAACATTTCTTTGTTTTGCTGAAAAGAAAGGTCACCGTCACTAGCCAATAGAAGCTCAATGGATATAGCATACCTTTCTAATTTTGAAAACAATATTTTTCTTGCTTCGTTGTGAAAAGGGCACTCAAAAAAATAGTGAATACTATCCTCAACAGGGTGGCCACAGCTGCATGCGGGACTGGGTTTAATTTTAACACGATGTAAATCTGAATTTAAAGAACTGCACATATTTCTCAAACGTGTATGAATGATATTAAGATTTCTATCACCACAACTGAAATAGGAGGGTGGCTGTATCAATTTAGACTTCATCTTTCGTTTAAAAATATTTATATTTTTGGACGTACGTATGTCGGGGTTTAGGCTATTCCATTCAATAGTAGTAGATGGAAAAAAGGATTTTCTGGTTATATCTAGTCTTAAACTTGGTACTACATAATTATTACTGTTTCGCAAATCGTAAGTAGATATTTCACCAACAAGTGGGGGCATTAAATCGCAGAGAAAATCAGGGGCAGTCCCATTATGTAAATAATAAAACATATTGAGCTTTCTGAACTTTCTTCTGTCCGCCAACAATCGCCACCCTGTTTCAAAATATATAGCTTCCCGACTAGCAAACACGGGCAACCCAGTTACTAATCTTCCTGCTTCCAACTGTACATGTTCTAAATTGTCGGCATCTTGTTGAGTACAACCATCCCATAATTCACATGCATATTCCATAATGGGTCTTATAAAAGTTAAATATATACGAGCAAGATTTTTTCTATTCAATACATATTTCAATTTTTTAAGAACATTTAATCTTGTACTTGCACAATTTAAAATGTTTTCTATATGTGTATGGAATTTACCATTGGAATCAAAAGTAATCCCTAAGCGTTTATGACAGGAGACAAATTCTACTGCTTGATTTTGAAATTCTATTGTAATGTCATCTGGGGAAGTATTACACCTGAGAATAGCATAGCCTTTGTCTTATTAGGATTAAAATTAATAAGCCAATCTTTAGACCATGCTGAAATTTGTTCTAAATCGCTATTTAAGACATCCTCTCTTGTGTAAGGGTTATTACTTGAATAGAGAACGGTTACGGTGTATCAACGCATGACACACGATTGCAAATGAAAAAAAAACAACAGTAAAAGAAACAATGATTTTATTATCAGGCCATAGTCAACGCGAGGCTTTTTGCATACATTAATTGGCGAAATGCGCATCTTGTATATTACAATTGGTACCATTGATATTCATTCAACATGGTGCAAACACTCTCAACGCGTTGCAAATTTATGACGGTCCCTTGCACTGGTTCGAGCGGAATTCTATAGCTGTTGATCAAATGATACATTTATATATATTTTTTTTTTGGTTTTATTCATGAGAGTTAACATCACACTTTAGTCTATGAATGTTATATGCTGAATTTTTTTTGTAGAAAACTTTGGATATTTTAAAAATGGATATAGAGTCTATGGAATGGCAATCTCTACTAAATATGATAAAAACTGGTACGCTAAGAAATATAAGACAACTGTATGTAGAATTCCATGGATCTACTGCATCATTACAATATCTTCAAACATTAAGAGGCATATATAATGAAGGATATAGAATTTATTGGTATCACAGAAATCCCGCAAAGATCAATATACAGAAAGGAAAATTTGTAGAAAACAGTAGTTGTTATGAAATATATTTTCTTAAAATATGACTACAGCATAATTTTCTACGATAAAAAAGAACAAATATGTAGCATTTTCTGATTCTTTTGTATGACTGTTATCATAATTACCTGTGACGCCAACAGTGAACGCAGATCTGATAACCGCTTGTCCGTCCGTATGATCTTAAGTCCGTTGATCCTTCAAAAAGTATCCTATTTTGATCTGTTAAAAAAATTACAAATTATTATATTGACTTTAGAATGTAAACTTTTGAAAGTACTTCACTATTTGATCAGTAATTTTAAATTTCTTATTTTAAATTATCTGCATTCTACGAAGGACCGGTAAGCACATTCAGTTTTTTTTTTTTTTTTTTTTTTTTTCAATTTCTCATTTCAAACTAGAAAATAATCATTTCCTAGTTTTAATTTCTCAGTTCCAATTTGTAATTTCTCAGTTCCAAGTTGTAATTTCTCAGTTCCAAGCTGTAAATTATCAATTCCAAGTTGACAATGCTCAGTTCCAAGTTGACATTTCTCAGTTACAAGCTGAGATTTCTCAGTTTCAAGTTGACATTTCTCAGTGTCAATTGCAAGATGACATTTCCCAGTTTCAAGTTGATATTTCTCAGTTTCAAGTTTACATTTCTTACTTCCATTATGATAATAATAAGGAGATGTGGTATTATTGTCAATGAGATAATTTTCCACCAGTGACCAAATGACGTGGAAGTTACATGTAGCAACAATAGGTCACCATACGGTCTTCAACAATGGTATTATTGTCAATGAGATAATTTTCCACCAGTGACCATATGACGTGGAAGTTAGCAACAATAGGTCACCATACGGTCTTCAACAATGAGAAAAACCATACCGCATATCAAGCTATAAAAGGCCCCGACAAATTAAAAAAAATAATTCGAACGAGAAAACTACCGATCTGATTTATGTACAAGTCAATAAACAGCAACTAACGAAAACCACTGAATAACCGGCTTCTGACTTGGGAAAAACACATACAAAATGTGGCGAGGTTAAAAATGTTTGCGGGAGTCCAACTTTCTCCCTAACTAGGGACAGTGGTGTCACAGCACAACATAAGAACAAACTATAAAATTCAATTGAAAAAAGCATGACTCACCAGAACGAAATAAAGTACAAAAAAAGCTAACAAAACTTCATATGACACAAAGTACCGATCCGACAGTACTGGAACTTACTGAAAGCTAGAACAAAGCCAAAAACAACTATTATCGGTCGTCCCACTGCAGCTCTTAATAAAATTGCATAACACGGCTTTGTGACGTCAAATATATTGACCCGGCCTTAACAACTTTGACCCGGACATATCAGCGACGTCATAATCTATGAAAAGACGTTGATAAGTTTGACCCGAACTTATTAAGTCATCTTCCGGTTTGCTGGTGAAACAGAGAAAACACTTGTTTCTGTCATGCAAAATACGCAAATACAACCCGATAAATGGATAAACTGGTTGTCTGTATATTTATATTGTAAAATATCAGCTGCTCCACACAATATGAGGCCTTTTTGAACTCGTTCGCTGCGCTTACTCGACAAAAAGCTTCATATTGTGACTCGCAGCTGATATTTTACAAATATCAATATGCAGACAACCTGATAATCGGTGCATACAGCAATCATGTGTCCAGTACTATAATGTCAAACAGTACACATCCAACGGATTAAGGGGGAAATATAGAAAGCCTTAGCTGTCATATATTAGAGATTTACAAAAAGTTATGCTGAAGCTTTTAATGTAAATATAAGAAATCGTGATGATGAATCGAGTCGTCAAAATGCTAACTTTTAGATACAATATGCTAAGTTGAATCTATGTTATGTTGACTTGCAATAGCAAGTGCTTAAGTTGTGATAGTATAATGAAAAGTAACTGTGTTGTAATGTAATGCCAATTACACGTTACATTGAGACTACACACACGTTACTGTGACAGCGCTGAAAATTAGATTTAACCCGACATAAGCAATGAATTATAACTATTTTCCCGATCCTTATATTATATAATTATATATCAAAATAAAGCGTAAGAAATAAAAAATAATATTGTTGCATTGTTTTTATAATCTTCCGAGGTTTGTTGTGCATTTCATTGCATTTTATTGTCATTTGTCAGATATAACATTTTTCGTGCAAGTTTGTCGGAATTTCGGAAAAAAGCACGTAAACGCGTCACAGAAAAGCACATAAAAAACTCAAAGAAAATTCACGTCATAATATGGATCAACGTCATATAGCAATGGAAGCTTTCTGTTGAAGTTTCAATGTTTTCTATCCAATTCTAAAGATCAAGCAAATATGTCAGATATTTCATCTAGCTAACTGCAACTTAAAATTGGACCCTAACACTTGAGTCCAATTAAGCCACAGGAGCCTCTAAAGAATAAGAAATTCTAAATCGAACCATAAAATATTTTCTGCTAGTTGTGAACATTAACCCTTAGAGTGCCACGGCTATTTCTTTTGTTAAAATACCGTTGAGTGCCATGGGATAGGCCCTAGATTTGAAATTTAAACGAAAAACGTCATAATTCCGTTGGCCTTTGGGCCTCACCCGTGGCACTCAAAGGTATTGTTTTTGAACAGGCCGGATAGGCCGTATGGCAGAGAAAAGGTTAAGATATATCCTAAGGTAGAGGAAGGAAACCCCTTTGACTGCATAGGGTTTGCAGTTGAATCTGATCGCAGACACTAATCTGATGCAAAGCCCTGTGAGTTATGTTACAAGACTCCTTATTATTAGTATACATGTATGTAAACCGGTGATCTATTACAAAAGAATTTTTTTCTTACCCAATATAAAATATCTAGTAAAATTTTCGTACAATCCTCATTATCTTTAACATTTGCAACTAAATACGGGTATTACATGTAGTATGCAAACAACAACTAGTCAGCTTATCAAACATTATTTGAGGTCAGGACTTCCAAAGCCTCTCTAATACAATCCTTGCAGGTGGATAGTTGTCTCATTGTCAATCATACATATCCTTATTTTTACATGAATGTTGTAGAGCTTAGAAAACTCAGAGAACCAAAATTATACTTTTAGGTTAACTATATCTGTTGTTTTGAATGATTATAAGTTGTACATGTCTGTCTGACTGGGTTCATCTGATCTTGACCCCCATTTAAACAGATCAATGATGATTTTAATTTCTTTAATACTTTTAGTATAACGTTTTTCTTTAAGACTCAACATGAATTTAATCATAATGGCAGTAAAGCAGGCAAAGCATTTCAGTGTAAGCACCGTTGCTTTTGTTTTGTTAAGCAATTATTTCCAACCAAGGACTGTAGTGAGCTTCTTGTAGTAACCAGCCTCTGCTTTTCAAAAAAGTGATATTTATTTCCTTGTACAAGTTATTGATTAAGGCTGCAATGTTGATCATCTTGTTGGTAGCTGCACTCTGTAAGTTTCATTTTTATTATGAAATTGAGAATGGAAATGGGGAATGTGTCAAAGAGACAACAACCCGACCAAAGAACAAAAAAGCACAGCCGAAGGTCACCAATGGGTCTTCACAGCGAGAAAATCCCGCACCCGGAGGCGTGCTTCAGCTGGCCCCTAAACAAAAATGTGTACTAGTTCAGTGATAATGGACGTCATACTAAACTCCAAAACATATACACGAACTAAAATTAAAAACCACACAAGACTAACAAAGGCCAGAGGCTCCTGACTTGGGACAGGCGCAAAACTGCGGCGGGGCCAAACATGTCCTGTGAGATCTCAACCCTCCCCCTATACCTCTAGCCAATGTAGAAAAAAGAAACACAGCAATACGCACAGTAAAACTCTGTTTAAAAGAAGTCCGAGTCCGATGTCAGAATAGGTAACAAAAGAAACTAAGCAAAATGACAATGATACATAAATTAACAAAGGACTACTAGCAGTTACTGACATGCCAGCTCCAGACCTCAATTAAACTGATTGAAAGATTATGTCTTCATCATATGAAAATCAAGCACAATCCCTCCCGTTAGGGGTTAAGTATCATATCATCATAAAGTATACGAGAAGAACATAACCCGTAACATGCCAACAACTGGTTTTAGAATAAATGTGTTTATTTCCGATGCAAAGACCCTATGAGTGAATCAATATTAAAACCAAAATATGCCATCTTTAATAACATGACAACAGTATCGTAACTATATCCCTTCTTAATAATTAGATATAGGAAGATGTGGTATGAGTGCCAATGAGACAACTCTCCATCCAAGTAACAATTTATAAAAGTAAACCATTATAGGTGAAGGTACGGCCTTCAACACGGAGCATTGGCTCACACCGAAGAGCACGCTATAAAGGTCTGTTTAAAGGTTTGGTAAGCTTCTGGGGTGAAAGCCGATATTTTTGTGCTTTGTAAAGAATATTACCATAAAAGATTGGATGTGAAATACCTAAACGTATAAGATGTCTGCATGTTGATTTATATTTACGAATGATGTCCTTGTACCGATGATAAAATTTAGTAAATGTTTTGATTAGTTTGTGATGTATATATCGAAAACCCTGGTGTAATTTTGTTTCAGTAATACATTTCTTTCGTTAAAATCAAATACGTTGTTACATACACGAGCGAATCGAACAAGTTGAGATATATAAACACCATAAGATGGTGACAAGGGAACGTCACCATCTAAAAATGGGTAATTACCAATAGGAAATGAAAAATCATCTCTTTTATAATAAATTTTGGTATTAATCTTCCCGTTAAAGATATAGATATCAAGATCCAGGAAAGGGCAGTGTTCATTGTTAGTATTAGCTTTATTTAAAGTCAGTTCAGCAGGATAAATTTCTTTAGTGTACACACTGAAGTCGTCATTATTGAGGGCCAATATATCATCCAAATATCTAAAAGTGTTATTAAATTTTTGTATCAGATGTTGTTTCTATGGGTTTTTGCTGATTTTAGTCATCAATTGTAACTCATAACAATACAGAAACAGGTCCGCAATAAGTGGTGCACAGTTAGTCCCAATTTGGAATTCCG